ATAGCTATCTAAAAGACTTTGCTTTTTTTTCAACTATTTCTTGACAATTATATTTGTACTTCTTCTAACATACTATTTTACTCAAATATCCTTAGTTATTCTATTAGTTCTTCTCACAATTAATTTCAATAAAATCTTATCTATTCCATTGTAAACCAAAGCATATTGTCAGGATCGAAAAGAAAACGATCTATAGTAATACTTCGATTAGATGAATGTTGTGCTATCAGGAGAATTAGAGTGTCAAGAGTCTTGATATAATAATGCATAATTAAATTAAGTTCTTTTTCGTGTGACAAATAATTCTCAGTTATGTTTAGATTGTAAACGTAAATGCTGAAGAAGTAGATTTCAAATGAATGTCTTCATGAAATGCAATCCATTATGTATGATCGACTAAAAAGGTCTAACTCGTCCTTTAGATTTTGAATTTTTCCATGTGGCCATTATTCGAGTTGAGGGTGTAGGTGAGGCTGTAAATGAGTCTCTATTTCCTTAACCCTTCTAATTCCATGCGAAAAAAGCCCTGTGGAATACTATGCATGGACATTTTTGTCCATAAATATAACACATAAAAAATTCGATTCTAGTCAACTTTATCATTAATATATTAAATTAATCTGACATATCGTTCTTGTTTATTTATCTAATTCAAAGCTTTATCATAATAATATATGTTTATGATATCTACAACATATATATGCTATTATATATAAGAAACTACACGAGAAGACGGAAAAAATAACATATAAGTGAATCATACTATCACATGAACTTTTTTCATGTACAAGAAAACAGTTTTTTATCGAAAATTAAGCATTTTACACACATATGGACGAAAATATCCATACACCGTGTTAGAAGGGTTAACATACAAATAACTATTTTTACAATTGATTTACTAATATCACTGTAAAATGTTTGAATTGAAATAAACGTTTTTTGATATCATCATATTAACAAGTATTAATAACTATCTAACACTGATTTTCAAAATATTCAGAAATAAATCTCAGTTATTTAATCAATAAGAATATAACATCTATTATACCTCTTATTACAATTTTGATTTTATAAATGATACAATTTAATGGAAAAATAGCAATGAAAAATATTTAATTCACTGATAATATTAGTTCTTATTTTTTTAATCGAATTAAAAGTTTATAATTCATCTTAACTAGTTTATTTTGAAAACAATTTTTACAAAAAAAAGTACATTCATTCTTTCTCTAAAAACCAGGTTCATGACGAAAAGCAAATCCTAACTCATCACAGCATCTTTTTACTTGACTAGCCAGGAGCGTATTTCCTGTCAGAAAAACGCTTGTTGATTTATGTTCTGCTTTGAATTTTGAAAATAAAACTTTCCACGGAGGTCGTCCAACATGTGTTGGTGTTTTCAATCCTGTATGTATATCATACTGTTGCATACCTGCATAGATATTAGCAACAAGATCATATGGAAGAGCTTCTAATGTTGCTTTTTTATTCGGTCGTAATGATGTACAATACAGATGCATATCTAGATATCTTGATGTTGGTTCTGTAGAATTATTTCTTGTAGCAGCCATAATATTTAAATAATTTTCTTGTGCATTTTCTATTTCTTCAAGAATATCACGAAAGCATGAGAAAGTTTCAATTTCACGATTAATCCAAAAAAAGTCCACTTTCTTAGGTTGTTGCTTTGATATTTGTGTATAATTATAACTGTTAGCATTACAACTAACACATACACATCGATGATTTTGTACACGTTGAGTTAAACTATCTAAAGCACTTATAGAAGGTGTTACTCCTATACCAGCACCTATTAAAACTACATGTTCACTATTAAATACATGTGATGTACAAGTACTAAATGGTCCTTCAATCCAAATGTCAGCATCTGGATCATTCGCTAAAAATGTAATTTCTTTTGATAATAATATATTTCTTAAATTATCATTGGAATGATTATCAGCTCCATCAATGGTAATTGCAGTGAGATAAGCACGTTTTGTTAAACATCCATAAAAATAATCATAAACTTTTTTTGTCCAATTTTTTTTCTTCATAATACTTATTCGAATATCTTTTCGTTTAGGTGAACTTGAGATTGTAAATGGATGCCATTCCATCTTTGCTGTAATTGAAAAGTAAAAGATTATTAATTTATGATTATACAATAAAAAAAAGAATAGTTACCAATCTTTGGAAAACATATATTAATATAGTTGCCTGTACGAAATTTAAAGCGTTGTGGTCTTTCAATAATTAATGTTAAAATATTGTCATTTTCAATTCGAACTGATTTCAATTTAGTTCGACCATGTTGTGGTAAATATCGTTTTAATAAGTAAATTTTTTCGAAGAAAAGAAGAGTCGTCGGTCCAATAGCCCATTTCCAAAAGCTTGGTGCATGAATTATAAGAAGAATAAACATTGGCCAAAATAAATAATGAGTATATTGAAATAAAAGATAAAAACCAGTTCGTTGTCGAATGAATTGTAATGAACAAATGAACATAATCAGAAGAAGTAGAAATAGAATATCACCTGTAATTGTAGCTGAATGAGCAACCCATCCTATTCCTGCAGCAGTTGTAAACATAGATTGACTCCATGAATTTACTAATGAAATAAATATAATAATTATATATGATAATACAAAAAAAGAATATTTACCTTCAGTATGTGTAGCAAAATGGATACAATGACCAAGACTATGTATTATAGCTGATACAAATAATGCTGTACCAACAAGACGATGTGCATCAATATGATCATCAATGGGAATAATTAAAGTCAGACAATGTATTCTTCTTAACACTGACATTATTTGTTTTAACATAAGAGTTACGGCAACTGCATAATTGTAATTAACTAATGTACCACCAACATGAGCAATGATTTGCCATACAGTATTATTTTTAAGAATATAAATACGATAAAGAGATACATAAATAATCAAACCTATTGTGATTAATATATAGATGCCAAGAAATACAAGACGATTTGCATTATTTACTATATATGACCAAAATCGTTGATACCACATTAACTCATTCTCTTCTTCTCTATCTTGATCAGGTACACTAATAAGATAAAGAGATTGCAATGCATTAGGATTTCGTTGAAGAATCTTATAAAATCCATCAAAATTTAATTCTCGTTGTTGAATAGCATCATCATTTATTGGAAAAAATTCCTTTAAAAATATGTCAATAACTTCTTTCTGATGTTGTTGGTCTCGAAATATTTTAAACTCCGATGTATAATTTTGATAAAATAAACGAATCTCTTCTATACTTATTAGATCATCATTATTATCATCGAATAATTTGAATAGGATAAATGATTTCACTGACATAGATGAACTCCATAAAACACGAGCTATTCGAAGAATATCTAGACCTGATATAAGATTTGCCTCATTTGTTAAATTTATATTAAATACCATTAGTAGTCGTCGACCTGTAAAAAGAAAAGTTAATTTATTGTAATATAAAATAAAGAAAAAAACATACTGAGCATGGCTTTTATTTGAAACAGATCACCAAATTTATCGATAGTAAATGTTTTGGAACGAATATCATCGTTAAAATAGGCACGAAAGTGATCTTCATGTTGTTTTGATATGGGTTCATTATATAATTCTTTGAATTGTTGTCGAACCACTTGACCAACTGGAAGACTTACAGTATGTCTCAATCTATATAGTTAAAGAAAAGCATATATATATAATTGTATACTCTGTATGTTTAGTAATAAATATTCTCATAGAAAAGATCTATTCATTAGACATTTTTAGATAAACAATCTCGTTGAAAAACAATATCTCAACAAAAGCTAGGTTCAAGAAAATTCAATCCATTTTAGTAAGATGCAGATAGTAATACTTACGAAGTTGTTGATTTTAAAATAGAACTTAATATTGTTGTCGGCGGATTGTCATTGTCTGAAGTTTGAGATATTGGAAGCGGCACAGTGTCATCGGGAATCGATTGATTCACTGCATCACTGACCCTACTGATAATCGATGTATGTACGTGTCGACTACAAATAAAAAATAATTAGAAATTATCCAATGTTTATCCTGAGTTTCTTTGATATTTGAAAATATAATAACTATTTAAGCCTTCGAGTTTAGTTTGACAATAAGATTATTTTCGATTTATTTTAATAAACTCTAAAAACAAAATATAACTTACTCTCGTTCCATTTTCTTCGTGATGATTCAGTTGATAATACATCGATACTAACTATCCACAGTATATATATATATATATGAGGAAATGTGAAGAAAATACCAAGATGATTTTAAAGTTTTCATGATATACTACTTCCTTTCTATAATGTGGTTTTGTCAAGTAGGCGTTGTATTTGTACAAATGTAGTACCTTTTTTTATCATACATAATCAACAATAACGTCATAAATTAATGTATTACATTAAAATCACACGATGACGTATTTTGTTTTGACGAGTTAGTAGTAATATGTTTATGCATGATTATCGTAAAAAACATGAATTCGTCATGTTATAGAAGCTGACAAAATTTTTATTTCCAACTTCTTGCTTCCTACTTTGATAGTATAAATACAATAAATTTTAACATGGCTTGTTATTACATTGAAACTTTTCAAAATATCATTTCAAATGAAATTAACTCAACTCCTTTGCTTTCTTGTGATTCTTGTTGATGTTTGTGATAGTCGACGCAGAGTTACGACTACTAGTACAACTACAACGACACTACCACCTACAACAACAACTAAAACGGCACTACCATCAACAACAAAAACAACAACGACACCATCACCATCACCAACAACAACAACAACTCAGGCACTAAATACATCAGATCCATTAGCACTTTCACGTTTAGAATCTATTAAAAATTCAGTTAATGAACTAAGTCTTCTATCAAAAACAATACCGTCTGATTTTATCTTTGACTTTGATAAAGCTGTGACAGGTGTTTCACTCAGTAATGGTGGTCGTACTGTTGCAGCAACTGTAAGTATTCAAAATTATATATTGATTTTAAAACATTTTTAAACTAAATATAATTTAGGTTGCTAACTTTCCAGGCTTGATCAATCATGGTATTGCAATGACAGTAGGTTTTTTGGGTCCATGTGGAATTAATCTTCCACATACACATCCACGAGCAACAGAAATCAATTTTTCTGTTGATGGTGATTTTCAAGTTGGATTTTATCAAGAAAATGGTGCAACTTTTATTATGAATGAAGTACATAAAAATCAAGTCGCTGTCTTTCCAAAAGGTGCTATTCATTTTGAACAGAATATGAATTGTACACCAGCAACATTCGTAGCAGCTTTTAATAGTGAAGATCCAGGAGTACTAACTATTTCGAATGCTTTTTTTGGTTCAATACCAGCCACAGTTGTTGGTGCAAGTTTAGGTGGTTTAAATATTTCAACTATTGAAGACATTCGTTCAAACCTTGCAAAAAATCCATCACTCGGTATTGAAGAATGTCGTAAACGATGTAACTTATAAACTAACAAATATATATATATATATTCATTTTTAATCTCGATTAATTGTTTAGATTTTATTTTACTTTATTTAATAGATAGGATCTAGATGTCTATAAATATAATTTTTACTGTACATCAACTAACGTTCTATATTTATAAATATTAATAAAAAAATTCAAATTTCATCCATATAAAGATACATAAATGAAAGAATATACAGTAGATTAAAAGAAGAAAATGAAATTTCAACTATTTCCTTTTCTTTTCTCACCGATTGCCATTATTCTTCCTGATGATAATGATGATGATGATTTACAATATTTTAAACGAATAGTCATACTAACGACATGCTTGTGTATATCGTTTTAAAAAATCATGTGCAAAACGTAATGAAGCATAAAATACCTATATTATGTGAAGGAAAGAAGAAGTGAAATATGTATATCTCATTAATTATCTATACAACAACGTAGAAGAAAGAAAAGGACAAATGGTGAATCATAATAACACGTTTCGGTTTTTATACTTTTGTATTAAAACTTGACATTCATGCACTTCAATGTTTATACGATAAATGATAAAATCTTTTACTATTTTTTTTCGTTTTTTTTTATTGATCTATGAAATCTAATTATTGATCTTACTTATGACTGAAATCATCCTTTTCTCTCTATTAATTATATCATCATATTATGGAAATATAACTTAAAAAGGTATTAATTTAGTTCAAGTACGTAACAATACATCTATATGTATGTTCATTGTATATAATATGTCGTAATGATACTATGATGTAGTTATATATATCTATGTTAGATATTACGACAGAATATAATTTGGTTTAGTGTTATAAATGACTAATAAAAGATTGTATATGGATTGCATTATGTCGCCTAGATATTCTTGTGAAATAAGCTCATTCTATATCATGACTTATATAATCTAAATAAATGTAGAGAATGGTTTAAACAAATAAACATTCTAGAGTGATTTTAACCTTGATAAAATTTTAAGAAATATATTCTTGAGACTATTTATTGAGCATTAATAAACAAAGCAAATGACTGACATGAAGACAAAAAATACTAAAAAATAAAAAACCAAAGTCTCTTTATTTATATATCTGTTATTTTTCAATTCAAATTAATTTGACTGTTGTTGTTGTTGTTGTTGATATAAAAATCGATGAATATCTTGAAATGTTGGTCTTTCATGATGATTAAGTTTTAAACAAGCAAACATTAAATCAATTAATTCATTTAATTGTATTTTATCAATAAATGTTATATCTAAATCTGTTGATAATGGTGGTGATAAAAGAATTTCTTGATCAGATAAATGTGCAAATGGAAGTATTCGGCATGTTGTTAATATTTCATATAAAGTTATACCAAAACTATAAATATCAGACTTTATTGAATAACCATTTCCACCATTCTATTGACAAATAAAAAAAAATAAAAAGAGCCGAAGAAAAGAAACAAACTTACTATTAATACTTCCGGTGACATCCATCGCACAGGTAAATGTGCATCAGTTGTATAATAATGTGAATAAATTGGTGATGCCATAGCAATATCAGTTAATTTAATCATATAATTATTAAATACTAAACAATTTCTTGTTGAAATATCACGATGTATTAATTGTCTTGATTCAAGATAAGTTAATGCATTAGATATTTGACATGTTACAAATAACATTGCTTGATGACTAGAAATAATAACAATAATAATAAACAAAATTCATCTATTTATTTAATTAAATACATACTCAAGTCGAGCATTCATATCATTCTCCGTAATACGTCTCATTAATAAACATAAATCTCCAAGTTCTGTATATTCTGATATCATTGTAAGACCATCAAGTGTTTTATAAAGAATATTAGCTAGATTTGGATGATCAATTGAACATAATACTTGACTTTCTTGATTGAACAATGATCGAGACATTGTTGAAACTTTTGTTAAACGTCGAATTATAACACGATTATATGAATATATACAACCGATTGAAATCTTAAAAATAAAATTACATACATATATATTAAAATATCATGTTATCATTGATATACGAACTTGTCCAAATCGTCCTTCACCATAAAGATCTCCAGGTGGTACAATTTCACTTGAAATTAATTCAACTTTTCTTGGTGGTGCAATCATTTGTGGTGTATTTGTTAGAACTCTTATCATTAAATTTGTACCACATACACCGCGTAATGTTGTTGGTAAATCAATAGTTCCATTATTAACACTAATTATATCTGTTGAAGCATAAAAATTTGTATCACTATCAATACCATTTGTTGAAAGTAATTTAACACATTGTGGATGATGGAATGTTGTTGATGGTAAACATTTATTTCGTACTGACATTTTAGGTGTTCCACTAAATGTTGATGGTTCTGAAGAACTTGGAGCACTATATGAACTTTGACTACGATCTATAGAGACACAAAAAAATATTCATTTCAATATATAATAAAATAATATTTTACTTGAACTTTGAGTATCTTTATCGATATTATTACAACATGGAATTTGAAGTTTTAATTGATTATTATTATTATCATTATGACATGTTTGTAAAATAAGTTTTTCTCCATATCTATATATATATTAAATCAAAAATTAATGTAGAAATATTAAATCAACAAACCGATTTAATTTTCGTTTTTTTCGATGTCGATGAATCATTGCAGTAAAACAAATAAGAATAATAATGAATAGAAATGAAAGTGAAGCAGCAAGAATAATTATCGATTGAAGTGGAATAGTAATTGTTGTTGGTAGATTCGATTTCGGAGATTGTTTAGCTAATAAAAGAAAATAATAATTATTATTTAAGGAAAATACAATCTTATCAGTACAAAAATCACACTAGTTGATTTACATATCTTCGATGATGATGATTATTTATTAGAAGATGGATTGTTCTTATCGATATTATGCAAAGTGATGCATTTCTCTATATAGTATGTTATATAACTAATAAACAACATATTTTAGTTTGATTTATTTATTAAAATGAATATTTTATTCTCTATCGATTACTTCTTATACATGACAAATGAAATATTTCATGATATGTCAATTCTATCCAATAACAGAAGTGCCACTTTATCTTCATTTTACCGTGAATACATTGTCTTATGAATTCTACTTTATCTAGTATAATGAAGTTAAAGTGTTACCCCTCCAGTCATGTCAATATTATTCTTTTTAATAAAAACAAAATCACTTGATTTTCAATATACTTCTTTTTATACAATAAAAACAATCTTCAATAAAAGACAATGAATCAAGAGATTTATTCTATATTAACATTTTTTGTTTTTTTTTGATTAAAATATTAAAATCTATTTTCTTACCATTTAATTCAGCTAAAAGTTTCATATCAAGAATTTCATTTGACATAAATTGTATTTCACTTATTAACATCCAATTAGCATTTCCAAATGTTAATTCAATAAGAATAATTTTTGCTAATTGGTCTTTTAATGGTATATTTATCCATCTAGCTTGTTCGGATTGTCTATCATCTGATAATTCAATTAATATTTGTTTACTTTCAAGATTATTATTTTCATTGAAATATGTTGTAAGATTTATACGACGAAATTGTTCAATATCTTTTGAAAACATATTATTTGTATGTATATGTATTTCACTAAAATTTCGAATTGAATCAAAAACAAATTTTAATTGTATAGATGTTCGATTTTGAATTGATTTCTTCCAACCAACCCATTCAAAACCACGTAAACCCCAACTTTGAGTATCTGAACGAATATCATCTGATCCAATATCACCATCAATTAATTGTCCAACACCATTTGATAAAGATGCAGGTGTTCCATCATATGTTTTATCACTAAAATCCATATCAAATGAACGTCTATCACCTTGCGGAATTGTATAGGATATTAAATGATCTGTACTTAAACAACCATATAATTCTAATCGTAGACACATTCTTTTAGCTTTTTTATCATTTGATTGCATTGGATATATACGTAATTGTGTAGCGATAATTGGTTGTGCTATTTCGCGAATTTCAGCAATATTATTATTTGAATTTCCATAGAAACTTTCTTTTTTACGAAAATCACGATATTTTATCCATGGATAAGTTGAATCACGACGATATTCAAGTCGATAATAATCAACATAATCTTCCTAGAAGAAAAAATAAAAAAATTAAATTATTATTATTATACTTTTATAATTATTATTCTTACTTGAAATGGTCCATGTCGTCCTTGAGTTTCAATTAAAGTAATAACCGTTAAATTAAAAAAATTGATTTGTAAATACTCTTCACTTTGACTATCAATTAATGATTTTGGACACCAACCTCCGCCTTCAATAGCGGATCGAATACGAGCTGTATGTGGACCAAGTGATACATCTAGAGATGAACTTGCTTGAAATGATGAATCTGGTATTGCACCTGATTGTATACCAAGTGGAGCACGACATGTACCTTAAAAAAATTATCAAATGTATAAATAAATAAAAAGAAATAACATATATATATTTATTACCAAGTTCTAAACTGTAAGATTGATTATTGATAAGAAATAAGAGTAATATTAGAAGCAACATAATGGCTTTAATCTAAAACAATAAATATACAACTAATCAATATCTTCTGCTCGATCGATTGCAACTAATAAATCTATTCATTATCTCTAGAGAGATTGTCTGATAATGATAAAAAAAAAATTTCAATCAACTCATTCTTTTCTTGTTCTTTCTTGATGTATAAATCGTTCCTTTTTTTCTTTTTCTTCTTCTTCTTCTTCATACTTATGTAATAAGATTCACACGAGTGACTGGTAAAACAATAAATAAATCAAATGGTAAAAGTGTTCACACGAGAAAATTGTTATTTAATCGATCATGATGCTTGGTAGAGAACATCATATAAACGAAGACAAAGATGAATAGATAGCATTATTTCTTCTTTTCGCCTTCATTTTTATAGTTATTGTTTGTTCTCGATGTGCACTCATCATGTCATCAGGGCAAAATGTACAAATAATGATGATCATCATCAGCGTTATAATCAAAATGAAATAATAAATATATCTATCTATCAGACCAGACTCCCGGCGTGTTCTCAGACAATGAGTTAAAATGAATAACTATCTTATTTATTTCTTGACATTTATATCGATTCTATTGTATAACTAATCTATAAAGCACAAGAAAAAAAAACAACTAATGCTCATCGTAGAAAGAAAAAAAGAACTTATTCGATGTGTTACAGACTGAATATCTGAGGGAAAAAAAAGATCAATTTCATATGCTCGGTACAACACATACACTTTCTTCTTCCGATTTCTTTTCTTCATCTCTCCGCTCAAATTAAATTATCTAAGACACATACATTTCTTTTCTCTATCTACTTATGCAATCACAATTCCATTTTTATCTACCATCCATCCATCTAACCATCTATCTGACGACACAAAACGATTAGACGTCGGCATGCATTACACCATCACGGACTCGACAATTGCATCAAAATATATACACACACATATATATATATATATATAGAATAAAATTACGTACGAAATCTTAGTATTCTTCTTGACGAGACAAATTCGCTTTTGTCTATGTGAAACAAAATACCATATTAAAAGAGAGGGACAGAACACCGATATCACACTCGATTATAAAAAGAAAGAACAAAAAAAAAAGAAAAAGAAAAAAGAAACGACAGACATACATACATTGAAGGTGTATATAGTTCGGTCAATTATAAATGCGAATATGGTCAGTACATTCATTGTTTATTTCTATGTTCAACGAATGACAACGTGTCATAGAGACAATAAAGGTTAACTCACGCTCTCGTGACGATTATTATGATTAGTTGAAACAAACGAGAGTCAATGGGGGAATCACATGTGTATGACAGTTGATTTTACAAATACAAGACTAAAGCAAGGGATGACACATACATTTATAGAATACATCATTCAAATAAATACTAATATGACATGCAATGAACAAAAAGAAAAAGAAAGAAATATTACTTTTCTGTGTTTTTTTTGTAACGAATCATAAATCTTATTTACATACGAGACAATACTCATATTGACAAGTAGAAGTATTTATTCATTCAAGTTCATTGAATACATAGAACATAACTATTTTAAATAGTCTCTACTCTTCATTTATTATAAAAGAAGAAGAAGAAGAAGAATAAATTCAATATTGACTTAAACAAAAGAAGTCGAATATAAAATAGCTCATCTTATTCAATTGAATTTCTTTCGTTAAAACAACAAGGTGTCATAATCGATCTTTTCACTTTAGTACAGACATTAATTTGTCAAAAGATCAAACGTTTGTATATATACATATGTACATATTCGAAGAAAAACTCTTATCATAGTTCTACTACGTGCTTCACTCATGAGTGCGTGACACAAAACAATAGAGAAGATGCCGACAAGCATCTAGTCAAGCTTTCCAAGGTCATTCTACTTACTGTTCATGAAGAGACATTTATGCTCCTCCCAACTTCTCTTCCTTTACCTTAAACAATTTCTTTGCCTGACTCAATTCTCGAGGACAAAATGAATCAAAAAAAAAAAGGAAATGATGAGCGAAATTGAACACGCACATACACCTTATAATATTGAAGTAGAAACAAAAAAAATGTGAAGAATCTCATTTTTTTCTTCTACTTTGTTTATTATAAAAATCAAAGGCGTATAATATGTTGCTTAATCAAGTTGACGAAAGAGAAAAAAATATTAAATGAAAGAACTATATTAAAAAAACACAAGCTCATCTTTTTCTAATTTATAACCAGATGTGATCGATCTCATTTGACAAATAAAGGTCGACATTAGTTTAACGTGCGGTAAAAAAAAGAGTGCGATGTACAAGGATTTCTGTGAAATAAAGCTAATTCTTTACACGCGCAATCTACTGGAAAATTAGCATTGAGTATCAAGAGAGAAAAAAATGATTACATAAGAACTGATCATGCAGGTGGTACCTGAGAGTGTTCTAATCTTCCGACTTGCGTATGTATGTATGTGTATATATATATATATATATATCTGTATGCACTTGTCTCTCGGCGGCGCCTATACGACAAGTAATAATGAGCCTTCTCTCTCTCCCTCTCTCTTGAGAAAGAGTAAGGGAACGAAAGAGGGAAAGATTTTTTCTTCTTTTTCTTCTTTCTTCGATTAGATCGAGGTCTATTATATCAACACTCTTCTTCCCTTTTTTCTCTCTCTCTCTCCTCGTAGCAATACTCAACAAAGAACGAACGTTATTGACAGAAACAGGGAAGTAGGATGACAGAACATTTATCTCGTCATCTCTCCACCTGCAGAGCATCTTTATTAGAAGAAAAAAGCAGAAAAAAAACTAACGTCCTTGTATGTTCGATGAAGAAGAAGAAAAAGAAACTTAGTACTTAATAGAATTGTTTGTCTGCTTGAACGCTTAAACGGAACAAAAAAGAAAAAGAAAAGAAAAGATAGGGACGATGCTTGTTTGTTTCACGCATCATCATCATGGTTCTAATATATAAGAAATACAAACGAATGATTAACTACATACATCGATAGATTTAAATAGATGAATCATTTTTATTCATATTATTTTAAAGTTCAATATTTAACTATATGTAACTTTTATTTATATTCTTCTGCATCGATGAATGAAGGGAGAGAAAGAAAATGTGATTTAGTAATAGTAATATGGATTGAAAGCCAGACAACAATAGTATGTTTGGCGTCGAACGGATATCTATCAACACTACTGTACAAACAGACTGTCATTCATTGTTGAATGAACAAAAATAAACAAATGTCGTCTCTTACCTGAACGGCGCTTTTACAGTATCTGACCGCAACTATAGATCCGGTGATTACACAATATAAATATATATATATATATTAGAAGAAAAAAAAAACGAACGTGAGTTTACTAATGTTAAGGCTGTTAAAATTTTCATGGTGAATATCTAATTGAACACGCACAACGCTCAGCATCAAACAACATGGCACGCACTGTAGTTCACCTATTAAATATATCGCTTTCACCAATTATGATGGTAGCAACAGCAGCTGTCTGTTTTCGTTCTGCGGTCAGATTTGATTAAAAAAACGAAGAAAAAATGACTGAACTCACCATGCAATCGTCTAGATGAGGAACAGTTGGTGGTAGTGTCGATATTCAAATGTTGTTCCAAGAATGTGTATGATGATGTTGATGATGATGATCATCATCAAGAGGCTAGATCAATGTCCTATTCAAGTAGCTTTGTTTCGATACTGATCATTACTTTTACACATCTGGCATCCTATATATTGTAAAAGAAAAGGAGAAAAAAAAACGAGATCTTTCGACTACTATAATTACACGTGATCTGTTTCCGGTTCATCATCATCGTCATCACGTAATCATCATTTCGACTTCTTTTCTTTAGTTCTAATTGCCCGCCTTTAAACGGACATACGAAGTCCGGAAGGCAGACACAGTGTATGACTTACATTCATTCATCTCCTATATAACGACCCATTTTCAAGCTTAAAGAAGTCGCTTTGAGTGAGAAAAAGAAAAACGATGTTAGTACCCTGCAGGCAACACTGTCTCGTATATAGAAGTTGAAATTACGTGATGTAAACGGTAGTAATTTTCTTTTCTTCTCGCTTCGTATACGAATCACCTCAAGTTCTTATAATTGTTCTCGACACACACACACATATATATATATATAGATGTGTAAAGAAAGAAAAAAAAAAATGAAAAATTCAATAAATGTTTCCAACTAATATATGTTGATTATTTCTGCTACTTGCCCATTAGAAGCGGTGAATTGACATAGTCTCGTAACTGGTCACTCTATATATTTTTTTGTATATATGTATATTTATGGTTCTCCCCTCGTTTTGTCTATTCGAGGGAAGAACATGAATAGCCGTACTGATAACTGATCGCTCGATTCCTAGATATCTATCTATATGTTCATGTATGCATGAATGTATATATGTGTAACGACCGGTCAATCGGCACATTTAGGATTAGGCGACAGGACTTATACTAGCGACCTTTCACCATTCATACCACTAACAGATGAAATATGAACAACAAACATCACCACTATCCTAGTTAACTGTTAGATGTGATGCAATAATGTTCAACTATCGACAAAGAATAATTAGAAAACCAAAATGAAAGAGAAAGAAAGAAGAAAAAATTCGAAAAAACAACACTTGAATATAAAGTGTCGGAGAACATTTTAAAAGTGACCCTGCGGACACTAGTGCATTTCGAAAAATGGAATTGAGCTGCTGCTCTTTTTCTCTCTTTCACAATGTAAAATGAGCATAGCTCATTTTCACGGTCAACCGCGCTGATCATTACCTACTGTCTGACCGGACTTACGAGTCATATGAATTGACTGCTGCCGGATGTATAGTTGTACTATGCTTTGTATTCTTTTAATGGGTTTTTTTCTCTTTCGAACTAACCGACATGAAATGCCACGCGTACACACGTGTACACATCAGAGATTAAAATAAAAAGAAACTGGACACATCAGGCAATCGGTCGATCAAGAGACT